AATCCAAAGTCTGGAGTGGCCTCGAAGAAGATCTAACCCAGACCTAACCCAGACCAAGCTGGAGAAACTTGAGACGACCGGCTACCGTGGTGGTGGCAATGCTTGCAGCGTGTTGGTGCCACTGCAGAATCGATCTGATGGCCTAGTTACCAGGAGAGAGTGAGACACGGAGAGAAAGAGGGAGAACCCCAGGCAGACTGCACACTGGGTGAGGCGAAAGTCATGCCATAACTGGGAAAGGCATGATTTTTTGACAAAAGAGGGATGTTTTAACGATTCAGATATAATTTCGAACCTTTGACATTAAGACCATGAATGTCAGGACTTTAATATTACGTACTACAAACGCTGATAAATATATTGGTCACCAAATAGGAGACATTAAATTAAAAATAATTATTCTTTATTTTATTATTTCACTAACCTCCAAAATCAATTTCATCAAAATTTCATTGCCATCAATTTCTGCCCCACCTTGTAGAGAGCCAAGTATGGCGGCTTTTCTAGCAGCACCACGCGACGCTGAAGGCGTGGTGGTTGAACACATAGTCTCAACAAGGAGAGGGTTGCAGTAGTGGGTGGTTTTGATCGGAGGTTGTAGCCGGGATACGAACCCTGGAGCGAGGACAGGCATTGACCTAGATGTCCTCTCCGCTTTCTCCATCCTCCTTGGGTGAGTGTATCCCTGCAATCCTGCGTATCTCCTGTTTCTTCCCCCTTTTAACTGCAGACTTTGCTCCTGGCTATCCTCCATAAACTTCTTTCTTCCTTCAACAGAGTGAGAAGTTGATTACTCCGGGAACTCTTCATCAAAAGTGGAATGATGACATCCTGAGGTAGTCTAGGGTCTTAGTAATTGGAATACATATTTTATTTAAAACAAAATTGTTCATATAAGAGATATCTTAATTCTCATCTTTTTTTGAAGAAAATTTTTCTATGAAAGGAAGTTCTCTTTGAATCAGAGCAAACTTCAAGGCCGTCGTTCGAATCTTTATCGAGTGGCAGGGCAGGATGCGACCTCCTGCATCCTCCAGCAGCCAGTAGTAGGTTCATGGCTTGTCTGGAAGGGGTTGGAAGGGGTGGGATTTGTTGCTCGGAGGTCGCAGCCGGGATTCAGAACCGAGAGCTAGGCCAGGCATTGACCTAGATGTCCTGTTTGCACCTCAAACGTTATTCTCTCGCCATTTCTTATGTCACTCTTCCTTAACTATTCCTTTTCTATATTTCGAAGATTTCTTAGATTCTTTAGCTGTAGATTAGTTTTATCTCTATAAATTCAGGAGGCTGCGTTCATAAGCAGCATCCCACAGCATTCTGAACGTCGTCCGATTGAATGCCGCTGATGCGACAAAAACGTCAACTGCGGGAGGGGTAGCTACCTGTTGAAAGGTAATTTTGCGTCGCGGAACGTCGCTTGTTGCAGTTGTCATCGAGACACGGTGGAAAATTCGACGGGCAATCGAGCCGCGTTCAATTTGCGATTCGACGCGCACGTCCAGCCCTCGACATGGATTCAATATCCGTAATAATATCCGGACGTGTTTCGATAGCGCCGCTGATATGTGTTTCTCCTTTGATGAAAACAGGCCGAAGAAAAAGAGCGGTAACTCTTTTCAGACGCGTTTCTTGCCGACGTGGTTGCAATTATTGGAAATTGAACGCTCGCTGGTTACCATGCTTTCCAGCTGCAAAAAACATCATTCCCAGTCGGATGTTTCTAGGAAACTGATTAAACTTTTACGTGCAAGATGGATTGAATGTATTCGAGACTTTTGAAAGATTTGTGATAATTTTTTAGCATTTCGTTCAAGTATTGGAAGTAGCGTGCAGACCTAAATACGCCCTGAACCCATCCCGCCCACGCTCCATACCTAGTATCCCCGTTGTAATCTCCTCCATAACCTAACTTCCTCCATGAAAAGGAGAGGAAGAAACGGCAGAGGGAGAAGGGCGAAAGAGCGTCGCAAAAGGAAGGCAGAACTGGCGGACGACCACAGTGGGGTGGGTCAGGGTTAGTGTCGAAGGTTAGGCCCCTCCCTACCCAGAATCCCATAACATGCCAGCCAGGGTAAGGGACAGGGGGCGTACACGGCAGTCGGATCGATATTCTACTGGCTGCACGACCGCTCATACGATTTTCATTCCCTTTCGTCCAACTTTCCAATTTTTTTTAGTCCTCTTCCCGACATTGTCCCCTGAAATGTCGTTACGATTCAATGGAATTTGCATATTACTTTATGCATTACTTTCTTGGGCTATGCAGAGGGTTGGGACCAGGGGCTGAAGAGCCTGATCTTAAAACTGGTCCATCCCTGCCCTGCTTCGATTACTTGTGGGGTCAGTATGACCTCCTTCGTGTTCTTTTCGTTGCTTCCACAGTATTTATACTGTAAGTGAAGTTAGTATGCTTCAAACGATCAGATTGATCCAGCATCACCTGATGTGCATTAAAAACAGCATATCACCAATCAAGGGTTAATAATATTTAATGTTCTTGAACAATGACCCGTTGAAGTTGATTTTTGAATGGATGACAATTGGATCTGACGTTGGAAGTTAGCAGTCATTGCGCACGACGTCCAAATATTAAGATCAGCTCGATGCAGAGTCGTGGAGGGCTGGTGTCTGAGTTTAATAATCGATTAGCCGATTCGCAACGACGTGCAGAACGAGCTGCTTCTGCGGATGACACACGGCCTACCGGGCTGCTATTGTCAGAAGTCGGCCGTGCGTGTTCGAGATGACAACAGACCGAGGGATGATTAATAAATCGTGCTTTTCAGCAGTGCTGGGCCCTGATTGGACTGCTATGAGACTCGAGAGGGTCCATCAATCGGTATAGATCGATCCTGGCCACAAGGGAACGTGGTCGAGTGCGCTTATCTTTGACTGAATAAAAATTATTTCACATTCAGCACGAAAAAAGCCTGATAGTCTCATTCTGAAAAATTCTCTGTCGTTTCAAAGTATATCTACTATTCACTGGAAGGAAAGAGGAAAAACTCCTGCTGCGATTAAAGCGACTGTTGCAGGCAATAAATAAGTAAGGGCTCGGGATCTTGAGCCTCCAAGACCCATTAGGGGAGATTAAGAGGGAGCATCATCAGCAGGTCTGCTATCGAGTCATTAAAGCATCCTCGGATCGATATTGCTAGTGAACTGGTTCTGATGACGGTGTAACAGCGTCCAAGGTGTTATGTGTATCACGCAACACTTATGGCCGTTCTCGCATTCTATGCGGCTTAGTGTAGAAAGGTGGAAGAAAGCTCGGCTAAATCACGTCGGCGTTCTTTCGTATCTAGTGAAGGTGAAAGGGAGATGCAGAAAAATCGCGAGTGTCTTGCACGACCACTTCTAGCGGCAATAAAGATGAGGATGAATAAGTCACATTGAAGTTAGAAGCTTAGAGAAAGGAGATGACTAACACTTTGTGTTAATGTTCACTTTGTAGACCTAAAATCAGGGAGTACCATGTACAGTTATAGAGGTCCTACTCATCTCCACTTAACATTCCTCTTAAAATTTATTGAAAGATACTCAGTAGTGATAAATCAAGGGATAGAAACTATTTACCGAGCCTAAAATCCAAAAAGAAGCCGAGAAATATCAAAAAGAAGATATAAATGTAGAGTAACACGCTCCATTCATTCGACCCAAACGTCCGCAGCATTGGGCATCACACACCACCATTGTAAAACTGGAATTACGTCACCGGAACCCGCTCAAAGCCGCCCAATCGAAAGCAGGCAGTGTGCCGAGGGCCCAGAGCGAGGCAGAAAGTCCCGAAGGAGGGAGAGGACGACGAGTAAACAAAAGAGGTGACGGCCCAATGGAGTTGGAGAGGAGGGGATCAAAGCATAGTGTGCCGACGTATGGTTTTCTAAAACCATATTACGGTATAATTAAAAATAAGCAAAATTATTCAAAATTACGCCTTTATTATGTAATTTATAACAAACATGGTAGTTAAGGGTTATAAATTTTTCTTTGCATAATTTTTATGTATATGCATAGATAAACATGTAAGAACTTAAAGACACTGAGAATTCAGTAATAGAAACTGGTAAAAATTTTGAATTTCTCGCGACAAGACGGCTATATTAAAGTTGTGTGTCGTCCTTTTTCGGGCATACTCTTTTTGGGACCAGCCAGGCCGGTGCTGCGTAGAAAGTCGCGGTCTCTGGCGGAATCTGGCGTCGTTGTTCCACCACGTGACCGTTTCAAGGCCCACAGTGCCCCATGGAGGGAGAAGTTTCGGCAACTGCGTCACACCATGCGGCTCGTTCCCTCGAATCGCGCGTTCCACTGCGTTTCGCGAGTGTTCCTGCCCTTCCTCTTCGCCGCTTCTCAAGTCCGGGGATTCCCTATGCATCTTAATCCCGCTGGGATGCTGACCGAGGGAGATTAGACGGCATGTTGCTCGTTGAAAACAACCTTCGTCCGTTTTATGGTATTTCTGCTGTGTTTCCTTTCGGTTTTAAAAACATTCTTCTTTTATGGATGAAGTGTGGATGATTTTGATTTAGGTGAGTGTAAGATTCTTCGTATTCTTTATTGAAGTAAGTTATTCGAGAAATTTTAGTGAAGTTACACGTTGAGAACGAATTGTGAAAAACGACCGATCGTCCACGTAACGAGCGAACACTTTCACTCGAGTCACGCCGATAAAAACGCATCCTACAACTGACGAGCATCCTATCAATTTACAGTTGCATTGTTTCTCACTTGAAACGCAATTTCTACGTTGTCGTAATCCTCTTTCTCAATCGTTCGATTTGCACGTGACTTCAATAGATTGAGCAAACGACACTACTATAAGTGTTGTATCTTTCTAATGAGAAACTAAACATTTTCAATAATTTAAATAAAGGTCCTATGCCTTGAATATATCCCCAAATAATTGTGATATCATGCACCCTTAATGGACACAGCATATTATTTATGAAGCTGAGGACCTCTCGGCCCAAAGCTAATTAGTCTACCATCCTCTGTTCCAGATACCTCAAAGAAGTAACGGGCGACGATTCGAATCGATCAGCATGCATCTGGAGGCGAGTTTCGAGGCGCGTGTCAAGATGCGGTAGAAGAAATTCCTCGAGAAGAATTGACGACGCTGTCCAGAAGAAAGCGAGACTCGAGTCGTGCCCGTGCGTGATACACAGGACATAAGCACACGCATAATATCGGTTCAAAGCGACAACCATAAGATTAAGAATCATCATAAGTAGTATCCTTCAGTAATAACCAGTAGAGGGTGAGCCATTTCAAAACACAGGGGCTATACATCCCGTACGAGTCATAGCCTCTGACAAACAGAAACCACTGCCTGCCCTAAGTGTCCAAGTCTCGAATCATTCAGGAGACTCGTCGCCGTTTGGATCAGTCGATCCAGGACACCAGACATCAAAGATTCAGAGCAAAAGTGACCCTGTAGACACCCAGGAAGACATCCCACGAGATCTCTAGGGGTACGTGGACAGTGGTGAGCAGAGGAGCCGTCACGGTGGCCAGCTTAGTGAGCGGCAACGTAGCAGTGCGTTACGATGAGGCGTCGGGAGTGGTTGGCACGGGGGGTGTCGTGTTGGCAGCCACTTCCAGGTTAGCCACAGCGGATCCAGCCACCTCCAGCATGGACACCAGCGACTCCAGCATGGACACGACGAACGGAGGCTCGAGCACCACCGTGGCCGGGGTGCCGGGCGTCGGAACGATCGCCTCGGTGGTCGCTGGAGCGGCGTCCTTGACGCTGGTCAAGGCCGAGACGCCGGAACACTTGGCCGGCACGTCGACGACGCCTTCGTCGGTCACCGGACCTGTGACGACGGCCGCAGGTCTGTTCGCCGGCATCGTGAGCGCCAACAAGACTCCAAGACCGGACGACTGGCTGTCCACTAATAGTCCTGGGTCCCCGACGGCTGCGCTGCAGAGTCAACACGTGGTCTACACGACTCCGCAGCAACAGCTGACCGATTCGCAGCAACCGCCTCTGGCGCACTCCAGCCCCCTGGCGCATCAGCAGCCATCCAACAGCAACAATGGATACGCCAGCCCCATGAGCACCAGCAGCTACGATCCTTACAGTCCCAACAGTAAGATAGGTAAGTGGAAAGAATCTAGTGACTTCTGGTGTTGGGTTTGAGTGAGTGGTTAAACTGAGTATGACTGAAAGCTTAGAGTAGTTGTAGTAGTGATTCTTTTAGTTGGTCTAGTCCTAGTTGGCCTAGACGAGTTTCTTATGCGACTTAAATGTTTTATTCGTCAGGTTCTTATCTTCAGTCTCCTTAGATGATATCTAGAGAAAGAACAAGTCTCGCAGCGACTTTCACGAACATTTAAGCGAAAGCTTCATGTCTCAAGGCTAACCACAACTGTTTCCCCTGAAAGAACCTCAAAAAAAGTAGAAATAGCGTAGTTTTTAATGCTCGGCCAAGACGTAGGATCGTTGGGGAGCAGAACAAAGAGGGGACGATCAGGAATTCAGTGCACGCGTTTGCGTTTCTTTCGCTCGACGGTGCAATAGGCGAGAAAAAGAGAGTGAAACGTCGACCGAGCAGCCGGACGTGACGTCATCGGCTACGTTCTCCTCTCACGCGCCCCTCCCCTTTGTCTCTGGTGTCCACTTCCGTCAATCCAAGTGATTGCTTGCACTACTGCCACACTACAGCGTTCTCGCGTGCTGCGCCGCGATGCACGCGATGCTTCACGTTCAAGACGCATTTTAATGACAGCTGCGAGGGCGCTGCGATCAGTTAGGGGACGATTCAAAGATGGATCTCTTGGTCCTGGAAATTTTTTGAGCCATTTTATTTCACGCGGTTTTGCTTTTATTTATTATATAAATATTTTCATTGAGATAATTTTCTTTTTCGTTGAACTTCTGGACAGCTGATCGTGCTGTTAATGAGAACCGCTAGGTAGCTGTGTCTTTAAACGATTTAAAAATAGACGGTGGTGATACTTTTTTCTGCTCGGCGACATGTGCTAATTGGCTGCTTTTATCATACAGGGTGCAACTTTTCTTTCCCCCTTCGTCTTTTCGCCGTTACGTGTGCGTGCCACCGTTGTTGTATTATTGGGCTGAATTATCGATCACCACCGTAATAAACTTCCACTGTTAAAAACGTTCTTTGTTTCTTCATTTTATTTCACTACTAGGAAGTCGTTTTGCTTTCGTTCTCTTTGATAAGTCGCACGCTAATCGTTGTTCCATTGATAAATCGCGTCCTCGAAAGTTTCACTATCGTTGCAATCTAAACTTCCACTTAGAACATTATTTCCTCATTTCATTTTAATTACCTATATGAACATAAACCTTTTTATTATAAAATTTTATTTAAATTAAGCTCATTTGTTCATCTGTTAATGTTTTAATATTGAAATAATAGCACACTTGTAATGAAAATGAAAAAAATGTCGAATTTTTAAGCAAAAGGTAGTCTAGGAAATTTTTTTTCTCTCTAAAAAACATTGCGCGCGCATCTCAGTGTGTAAATTCGGAACTAGAACAACAGACGTGTTCCATACTAATTTTCCTCGAACAGTACGTTCCATTTAGTCGTACCTATGTGGGCTATGACATCAATTACGAAATGAATTCACTATCGAAGGGGTTCTAAGCGGTTTCTGTGATATGGGTATTTTGTTCACGGAAATTACTATGTAGCTGATTGAACCCGCATGTCAGTATCGGTCTCGGGAAGATAAGGCAATGTTGTCGTTAGCAAAAATTTTCAATTTCCATAATGTGTACAATTTGCCAAAGGGTAACTACAGAGTATCTGAATAAAATATATACCACTATATACATCAGTGCTGTCTAAACGTGAAATATAAATGCACGAAGCAGAAGCGAAAAGTCAATTCCTAGAAAAAAGAAAAATTATATAAATGACCCCTGCTGTGCGTAGTCACCCATGCGAGAACCACAATTCACAGTTTGAAGCCTTTTTTCCATGGCCCGAATGGGTGTTGGAGAACTCAAGCTGGATTTTCCAGCGACTAGTAGCGGGTGGTGCTGCAAATTGCGGCAGGATGCAGATACGGCCTTGAGTATGGTGACGCGAGCGCAGATGCATGGACCTCTCACTTACACACGGTGCTGTGTCGTGTGTTACCCATGAGATTAATACCATCGGATCGAGTAACGTGTATACTGCGCGTTATTTAGAGCCTGCACGCTGCATCGCCAGCGTTGCTGTACAAGGGGATCAACTGGGAAATTGGGTACATGTGTTGCGAAGATAGTTTGCACAATTTCGAGATTAATTTTTATAGAAGTATAAAATCGATATCATTTTTAAATTGAAAAGAAACTGTATTTATTCCAGTATTACTATTAGGTGCCCTATGGTCCGGGGATGCGCCTTGTGGTCTTAGGGTATCCCCTTATGCCGTATGGGTCCTGGGGTGTGCCCTTGTTCCCTATGGGTCCCGGGATGTACCCTTGTGCCCGATGGTCCTGTGGTATACCCTTGTGCCCTATATATTCCTGGGGTATATCCTCATGCCCCAACCTCTTCAAATCTCTTACAGAAATATTTTGCTTAAATTTCACACATGCTATAGACACTTCCGCATATTTGTAGATCTATCGAACGTACCAAGATCCATTAGCAATCTAGTCACATGATCTACAAAGAACCTTCACGCGTCGATAACTCAGGCAGCGTGCTACTAATCGTCCTGTGAGATATCGATTCATACGACAGATTAGTGATACGGTTACGTAAATGTGCTTGCAGTAGCTCGTCCTTTTATGTGTATGCGCGTAGCGCGTTACGTGTGTAGGCGCGCAGAGATACGGGAGGCCGCGTGAAACAGCACTGATGGGACGAGGTTAATGACAATATGTCGGGCTGCCACGGTTCCTCCCACGCACCGGCTGCACTGGCCCATATAATTATTATTCTGACGCGCACACACGCGCGAGACCATTTAATTTTCCATCGCTCTGAACCCGAGCGTTTTTGCGCGGAAAGGTCTGTACCGGTATCCGGCAATTTCACGCCGTTTATTTCTGCGTCGCAGCCCGCTTTCTTCCCTCGCTTCGAATCCATGGTCGCGGCTCTCCTCTTTTTTTCCCTTGCTTGTGGCAAGCCTGTTTGTTGATTGTTCGGGAGATTCTGGCTGGTTGGCGCGGGTTTTTTTTTTTGTTTAGGTTAGGTCGGTTTCTCGGAGTTCTCGTTTTCTTGGCCAGATTCATCGTTTTGATTTCAGAATACTTCTCGGGGAATTAATTTTTATTGTTTATTTTGTGCTTATTTAATAGTTCTGAGAAAATTTTACTTTGCATGATAAAAAAAATATTATAAGAGAATGAATTCTAAAGGCTATTGTGATGAATGAAGGCTGCACTGGCAATCTTGAGAACAGGAATTGCACAATGTCCTTCGATGACATTTCCGGCGACCTTCCGCTGCTACTTCCGTCGGGTATCCGCCTCCGGTTTAGAGAACCGGAAGTCACGCTGGAGGTGGCCGTTCGCGAAAGCTCTGGTGGGGCTTTGCATTACCGGGGACCACGCAAATGGAGGTACACGTCTCCGACGCGATGCAACCTCCGGTTTTGATACATTGTCGACAATCTATCGCTCGCAGACAATCGTTATAACTCCGTACAAACCCACAACGTCCAGTTTAAATTAGAAAATGAAAACTGTATTCTCAATTGGATGCCATAAATTATGTCTATAAAAATATTGATCAGACAGCTATTTTTAAAAAGCTGAGATGCCAAAGATGACCTTTGAAAGTCTTGTTCTTCTTAAAAAAAAAGAAAGAGGACATGCAAAAGAGAAGTTATCGTTTGAACCTAATCTAAAAACCAATGCCAAACACGTGCGTCCTTTACGACCAGACAAATTTCCATCGCCTTTTCCTGTTCTCTTTCATTCAGACAGCATTCTCGTAGCGGAATCGAATAAGAAAAGGAAAGAAGTTCGCTTGCGAGGAATAATCTATACCTTATCGTTCAAAAACCTTCTGAATGCTACGATTAACCTTGAGATCCGACTCGCCGATAAAAGACGGCGTCGTTTCGTGGAAAGATCGTTAAATCAACGGTCGCGAGACTGGCAAGAAAGCTTGTACCATAGCAGTCGACTACGCAATTTCAATGCTCGACAGACACTCATACCAGCAGAGGAGTCTGTGGGTATATCGACGACACACCGGCGTACAGACGCGTCGCGTCGATGTGCAACGTGACCGAGGAGAGCATCGGGACGTTCTATATTTACCACGATTCACTTATCAGTCGCTTATCAACGAGACAGACGGAGGAGTCGAACGAAACACGTCTCTCTCTCTCCCTCTATCTTTCTTTCTTGTATTTTAGAGCTGATAGAGCAAACACTATGTCTCCCGCTTTCTCCCTTCCTTTCTATCCACCATCTTTTCCTCCCCGTTTATTTTTATCCTTCTCCGATTCTCTCGTTCCCTTACGTAACCACGGATCCGTGTTGCAGCCTGTGTTCTCCCCGGTCTCTTTTTTTTCCTTGTGGTTAATCGACACGACAGACGGCCGTGTTATAAGGTGATCACGCGACGATGTTTGCACGGTGTCTGAAGTCGGCCGACGTTGCGAACCTGGCCTACAGATGTCGTCCTCTTCGATTCTCATAAGAGCCATTGTTTTTCAAATGGTTTTCTATGCGGAAGGGGAGGTTTCAGAGGTATTCGTGTAACTTGAGATCATTGATGTTACTAGGATTTTTGTTTGGAGGTTAGATCCTGTGGTAATTTCTAGTTGGCTGAGAAGTGGGGGGTCTGGGCAAGTTCTAAAAGGGATAGATCCACCCCTGGGTGGGCCAGGGTGGTCCTGGCCCCTACCTAGTTACACCATTGTTCAGATATAACCCTTACCTGGGAAACTAGATACCCATTTCTATACTTTAATGTGTTTAAAATAAAAATTTAATTATTGTAAGTTTCCGGTTGCCCAGTTTTGATTTGGGTCATTAAAATAATTCCAAATGCACTGTTTGTTTATTTAAAAGGTTCTAGACTCTCAAACGAATAGATTTTTCTTTTTCTGCAAGATATTGATGGAAGATTGTAATAGATCTTTAGGCTTTTAGAAAATTGTGGGCGTTTCTTTT